ATTGCTAGCTTAAAGTCAGCAATTAATTTCATTGATCTATAGACCATTATAAAATTGCAATAATATCTTATGATTTACAATAATGATAATAGTAACGATCCATAAAGCGATGTAGGATTTTAAAAAATACTTCATGTATTTTTAATTTCCAATAGCTATAACTCCAAAATATTGATATTAACCATTCAAATACATTTATTAACATCAATATTTCTAGGTTTGTAAAAAAACACGTAATGAAATATAAGGGAGAGATAACCTATAAGATAGACCTGACACCCAGCATTTCCTTTTTGGCGAATAATCAATATAAACAATTACAGTAAATAACAAAAAAACTTACATATTCATTGTTCATTCTTCCGGGATAGCTATGTGTCGTCCCTAACCAATGTCATAAGCTTTTAACACCCACAAAGTAACATACTCTTGATCATACACAGTGGCCATCGAATAAAATAATATGCCACTATCGATGCCGTGATAGAATAGTTATTTACAGAAATGCTGTTTGGCATTTTTTTGTTTTGACTTATCAGTGTAATACTGATCATAACAGCCATAGTTAATACGTGTTCTTTATATGTCTGGAAGATATAAGCTGAATGGCTAAAGCCTTGAAATTGCTGCTTCTCCGCTGAGCATGCTGCATTTGTCCTCGACATATTTTGTTTTTATTGCACCATCGGTTTCTTCCCCTCTTTTTACATGTATATGTATGGGTTTTTTTCTTCTATGACAATAAAAATGAAAACAAATCATAATAACATTTCTCATTATCTAAACACATCTGCTCTTCTACTGATGACAAGTTAAGAATGGATCGCAAAAGGTTCCCATATCGGTTTAAGCCTGCATGCATGGTCGCGATGGGAAAACATACAGGGCTGAAATTGGGCAAATGACTAATAATGGACTGCAAGGTTAGTTAAAAACAATCGTCGACATTGCAAGCTCTACTGCTATATTTGTATAAAAAAAAACCTTTTAGACAACATGATGTAAACCATATCATAATTCTTTAAGGATTATCGATGGTACACACGTACGCAAGGAACCAGTCGAGTTTTCCGCATTTGAGGATTTCGAAGTATCAGTCTTAGTTGGCGCTGATTACTATTGGGATATAGTTGGGGACAGAGTTATTAGAGGATCTGGACAAACCGCTGTACAGTTCAAAGTCGGATACTTGATATCAGGACCTATACAATTGAATTTGTACATTACTTATCTATCAACGTCATCGATCATGAACTTATGACTCCACACAGATTAGAAGAATGTGAAATACATAAATTTTGGGAAATCGAATCTATAGTAACAGAAAAAGACAGCAAAGTGAAAGCGAAAACTGACTTGCAAGAAATGAATCGGAATGAGCACTTACCATTCATTTGAAAAACAATAGATGCATCGCCAAATTTCAATGGAAACAGGAACATCCGGAGTTGCCTAGCAACGAGATGATCGCCAGAAAGAGAAAACACAACATGATAAACCGACCATGAAAATAGAGGTTTTATCGAGAAGGTTGAGACCCCGGATGAGACTACTCTCCGAGTTCATTATATTCCGCACCACCCAGTGAAAAAAAGATTCATCGACTACACCGATACGTATTGTTTACGATTGCAGATGTCGCCAAGATTTACAATCACCTACCGTGAATGAGTGCCTTTCTTCTAATCCTCCAAAACTTAATAAGCTAATCGACATACTTACAAGATTCCGCTGCGGGAAATACGCATTGACAACCAATATTGAGAAAGCATTTCTCCAGATTGCATTAGACGAAGAAGACCGCGATTCCACTCGATTGTTCTGGCTTAGAGATCCAAGCAACCCCCAGAGTGGACTTGAGACTTGTAGATTCAAGGTAATTCTATTCGGAGCGACATGTTCGCCATTTATTTTTAACGTACAAGTGTTGATACGCAAGATGCCGCCTTGTATTTCTTTAAAGAATCTAGAGAACTCATGACAAATGCAGGATTCAATTTGAGAACATGGTAGTCTAATAGCATTCAACTTAGGGATGAAGCAACAAAGACAAACGTACTTGATAAGGATAGCGAGACGACAATTCTTGGAATGTGTTGGGATGCTGAGTCAGACAGATTGTCATTTCCGAAACAAAATAAAGATCATATTGATATTGATAACGAACAAGCGATAAAGAGAGAAGTTTTGCGAAAATTGTCGTCAATTTACGACCCACTCGGAATTCTTGGACCAGTGACTGTAAGAGCTTAATTACTTATACAAACATTATGGAAATAGAGATATGATTGAGACCAGGTGTTACCTAGCAAAATAGTTAAATCATGGTGTGAAATCCTAGAAGACATTAGAGATGTTACCGTTAATACGGAAATCGCACGCCATTATTTTACCGATCAAAATGAGAACGAAAGCAACGAGAAAAATAACACTGCATGTCTTTATTGATGCCAGCCAACGCGCTTATGGAGCCAGTGCCTACTTGTGTAAAGGAAACACTTCTTTTCTTGTAATTGCGAAAAACGGATTGCTCCGCACGCCAAAATGACATTACCAAAGCTAGAATTGATGGCCGCATTCATAGGAGCTCGAATGGCTAAACAACTCACGAAAACCCTAGAACCACAACGCACAGTATTATGGAGTGACAGTCAAATCGTACTTTATAGGCTATCATCTTCAAAAACATTTGGAAGATTTGTTCTAAATCGTGTGCTAGAGATTTAAGAAACGACAGAAAATTACGACTGGAAATACGTACCAACTGAATCAAATCCAGCCGATCTTCAAACAAGAGGAACATCATCAAAGCAATTCAAAGATTCAACTCTGTGGATACAAGGACCGTCATGGATATCAGAACAGTTTGCCTACATGGACCCCGCAGGTGAAACAAGAGACTCTTTTTTCGACAACAGATGACAGCAAAAAGATGAAACCGTGTGTATTGAATGGAATTTCGAAAATAATCGATTTATCAAGATTCTCGTCATTGAAGAAGTTACTACGAGTTGAAATTTGTGAATCAATGTCAAAGTAAGCGACCGTATAATCTGAGGAAAAATTTTAGACACGAAAAATATATTACGAAAGATGAAATCGAGTGCGCAACTCGTACGTTGATTATAGACATTTCAGAATGAAAAATTCAGTAGTGAAAAGTAAACTCATGAACCAGTCACAGGACAAGAATCTACCTTAAGTAGGACAATTGCGCTTGTTCATAGACACAGAGGGTGTCATTCGATGCACCGAACGCATACACAATTCACCGCTAGAAGACTCTGCGAAATTTCCAGTGTTGTTACCAAAGAAAAATGAATTTACGGACTTAATCATATTGAACGCGAACCTGCAGATGTTATATTCAGGAGCTGAACAGACAATTACGCAAATCCGCCAATCATATTGGATACCGTCTATTAGACAGTGTGTTAACCACATCGTACAGAAAAGATAAAGTCACCGACATGATTCCGTTTACGACAACTAGTGTTGATTCGCTGGACCACTCTTCGTAAAGTAAAATGAACTTACGACGAAACTGTATATTTGCTTACTGTAAATTCAGAAATTATTGCGTGCATTTATTATTGCGATTTTGTCATTTTAGACTAGAATGCGATTTTAATTTTTGCGATATTGAGAAAAATCCTATTTAATTCCCCTAAAAAATTTCAAAATGCGAGTTTAAATTATTGCGATTATAACCCTGTCGCATTTTTCGCAATAATAAAGACATCGCAATAAATTTCTGAATTTACAGTATTCACATGTGCCTGTATTCGTGCCGTACATCTAGAACTTGCTACAGATATGACAATGGAGTCATTCAAATTAGCGTTTAGACGATTCGTTAGTAGAAAGGGAATTCATAGTACTGTGTATTCCGACAACGCACCAACCAAACCAAGAATCAAACAAACGTTTGAACCATAAAGTAACTTTAATTAACACTTTGCAAAACGATGGAGGATTGAATACCTCACTGGATTATGAGAATTTCATCGCGTCGCTGGAGTCCAAAGCGTACATGTGAAAGTCTTTTCCGTCGTACAAATCATAGACAATTCACCGAGAATGATGTTAAAACTAGCAGTTACAGAAGATGTGATCACCGGGAATGATGGATTAGTGAGAGCAGTCAAACTTCGTACATCAAATGGACTGATTACAACGAGGCTAATTGTGAAACTGGTGCCACTGGAAATATGAACTGTAATTGGTTAAAATGTTTTTCAATTCCCCTTTTTGAACCATGCATGAACAGTTATTGCATTTTGCGGTCCTCAGAATGTTGTGAATTAGTTAAGTTTCAGTTATGTCAATTTTATACTATTTTATTTGGTTAACGTTTTAGCGCCATTTTACGTAGCAATTGGCCCGCAACGTCGTCACTTGCCGACGTCTCTTTGTATAGCATTGACTCCAATTAAATCATACGAAACATTGAAGACATTCTTGAGTTTATAGCCATTACTCGCCTTTATAATCATCACGTTCAAAACAGTAATTTTTATATATAAATTTACACTAATGGAAGTGACAACAACTTATGTTTCATATATTGAATTAAATTCATTTTGTTATAAAATTAAATGAGCAAGGGTGTGATCTTATAAAACCTTGCGACATGTGTATGAACCTACACACAAAGTCGAAAACTATATCAGTGTTTGTCTTCCGTAATCAATAATGCAGACTAAATATTATATGACAAAATATGCATTGTGTCTTTTTTTTAATCAACAACCTATTCATGCTATCTTTTAGTCGCAAGATGTCAGTGAATATTAATAATATTTGAAATTTCTTACGATGTACATTGCACATATTTCATTTATCTTTACACCAACATTACCTCTGTAATACTTCAAATTTCACATTCAGTCAAAGGTTTACCTGAACGTGCCTATAGAACCATGATAAGAAAAATAATATGATACAAGAAGTACGCATTAGGATCATATATTCATATATCTAAGGACTTGTAAAAAGACATGTTGTACTACATTTTGATATGTTTATTTGGTATGTCACTCTTATTTGTTTTACTTAGCTGAATTTGTAAAAGTGTTCGTAGATTTTTACAGTAGGTAAAATTAGCTGTATATTTACCATGCTACTTTATATTATGAATGATACTTTGTTTATAAATGTATTGATCATCAAACTCAATCAATAGTCAGTCGGTTTTAAAAATAGTGCAATATCGTCCTAAAATTAATAGCTTAGGAGGAAAACATAGCGACAGAAGAGTGCGTAACAAAGGCATATTTTATAGGGCCAGGTGAGTTTTTATCATCACTTGGCGTTCGTCGTCGTCTGTTAACTTTTACAAAAAATCTTCTCCTCTGGAACTTAGAAACTTAAATAAGCAAAAATGATCAGCAAGACAAGATCTTCAATCTAGAAATCGACCGATGACTCCTTATTGGAGTTATTGCCCTTTAATTTCGATTTTTACCATTTTCTTTTTTGCGTTTTGCCTTATACATGTTATATGATAATAATTATAAGATATAAATAGACACTTTAAATCACAAAAATGATTAGCAAGGCAAGATCTACTAACAAGTCAAATTTTGCCAATATAGTTAGCAGACTGTCACTCTTTATAGTATTTGCCCTTAATGGAGGATTTTGTTTACATGTACCATCTTTTGTTTTTATAGCAAAAACTAAAGAAAATAGAGAGAGAAACTAAACAGACTAAATGATCAGCAATACAAAACAGAATTTTGTCATGAATTCTATTCTCGTCTACAATGTTGGAGAGTGTCCTTTGTTGAATATGCACATAGACCAAGGTGAGCGACACAGAGCTTCTAGTTACTAACGTAAACATCAATCAAGACATAATACAGGTGGTTGATTAGAATACATGATTGCTCATTAGAAGCAAGTCGAAGGTCATGAAGGTTCGTGGTTCTCTAAGGATACTCCGACTTCCTTAATTAAATCAGAAACTGACCACCATGATATAGCCAAGAGTGCTGAAAGTGTCGTTAAATACCAACAAACACAAATCAAGACATACGATAAAGAATGTATTAACTATTATAATGTGTTATACCCTTTTAATTAAATTAATAATTAAGGATTTTTATTACAAATCACGCACCTATTTCACGGTAAGATATACAATACAATATCGACTATAGATTCCCCTAATTCTTCTATTTTGTTTACATTCACGATTTAGAATACATTAACATTTAAAAAACTGTTAATTAAGAGAACTGTGAGTTGAACAGCTGCAATAGTGTACTAGCACATGGACTAAAAAATTATAACGTTCTTATTTCTCCAATACATTATTTTTTTTATTGTTATGAGGAGGCATTAAGTGTTACTCTTGTTCGTCCCGTTCGTACTTCCCCACAATTGGTATCCGTTCTCTAACTTTAGTTTGCCTCAACCAAATGTTATAAAACTTATACACAATTCTTATTACCACAAAACATAAATCAAGTTTGAAATTGTTTGGCGTTACTTTACTGTATCTTGAGTTATGCCCCTTTATTAGTGGAAAAATTGCTAAATCTGTCGTTTCCGTTCTCTAACTTTGGTTTGCCTCAACCAAATCTTGTGAAACTTATTCTTATAATCACAAAACTGTCTTAAATATGTGAATACTGCATCTGTATCGATAGTGAGCTTTCATTACTTGGTAAAACACGGAAGCGTCAGATTGTGACTTTTAAGGTATAGATCGAGTGTCTTCCACCATCTTGGCCTGTAAAGTAGTAGAACACAATCGTTTTAGATCTTTAATTTGAATATGCTTATTTTGAAAGAGGAATGCAACTTATTTTTGGAACTTTCCATCTAAATATTGAAATGAATGGGGTTTATCTTATTACTACGACTATTCAAAAAAAGTACAGAACATTTTGTGTATGATTACTAAGACTTAAAATAAAAAACAGTTTTGTATTATACAATTTTGTTCAACTTTGTCATAAAGGGGAAGATAATTCAGATAACCTTACTTTTGGTAAGGAATGTGTAGTTTTTGTCTCTCAAAATAAATTTTTATTTCTTTGTTAGTCGTTAAATTCGAAAGCCTTGAAATTGTGCTTACTTTATAACCATCAATGACAAAGTATATTTCGTTTCATTTTCATGGCGCTTTTGAAGGTAATTAAGCGCATAAAACATGTTTTGTCATATGTAAGACCAGAGCTAATTCATTATGAAAGAATGTACATTCACGTCACGCGATCTTTTTTGACGCACATGTTCATAAATACGAAAAGTAATAACTTTAGTTTTACTTTAGTACGAGTTCATTGAGGTGTAATACCACCAAATCATAGTACGTCACATCCGGTTGCATACGAAAATAGGTCGAAAAAAATATTCCCTTAAATTCGACAGTTGTAGGTAATTGATCCTACATTTCATTGCAGTAAAACATTTCTGGGTCATAAACATATATCTTGGGTATTTCAAAGCACCATTATTTTTTTATTTGGGGTTTCTATAAAATATTTTGGAAACTTGAGGTTACATGGTTACTAAAGCTTGTACACAGGTTAAAAAAGGGGGTAATTTGATTGGTTAACTTCCAGTGATGGTTATTTTGTTATTTGCAATGAAATGATATGTGAAATTTTTTCTATAGTACTGGACAGGATAAAACTTTACTCATGCCAAGTATTTCTTTATTTGAAACAAAGATAAATTCTGCACAATTTTTTGAAAAGTGCAAATTTAGCAAAGACTAATGGGAAAATCAATGGTGGTATTACACTTTGAGGACTTTCGTCTCGTCTACCGGTATCAATGTTTCCTTATAGGCATAACTTGCAAGATCTTCTTTAGATTCTCTTTTTTATAGCTGAATTCGTTAAAGTTGTCGGTCTACCGCTATTACATGCTGTTTTGAAAAGCACGTTTTCGTAATAACAAAAAAATTGTACGCCTGTCATGTTAATTTAGGGTTTTATCAATATGGAGCAGACAGAAAAAATTCAACTTCTTGATAAAAAATGAATGACCACAAAACATGCAAAAAGAACGTCATGATTAGCACCAAAACATGATTTTTTTGTTGTTGTGAAAACCGTTGATACTGCCTCTTTACTGAGAAATTTTACCTTTATATGAAACTTAAAATATACACAATATTGATCATTTTCGTAGCGTGTTTCCAGAATGTTGTTTGCCAGTGTAAAAATGGTTGGATTCATCATAGTACATCATGTTATTACTTCAGTGATAATTCGAAGAACTGGGATACTGCTTCTGTACGTTAATTATTCAAAATAAACTTATACACTCGGAATTATAGGTTCTACATGAAACAGTAGTAATTTTACTGCACAAAATGGGCATTTGGTCAACGATTTTGTCTCTTCAGTGAGCCAAAAATGTTAGAAAATACAAAAACAAAAAACAAAAAAACTTTTAAAGTTGATTCAACCAAATGTTTAACCTGTATTCAGTCAGAAATTCAAATAGATATAGTAATCAAATTTTTAGGTTTTTGTAGATTTTTCTGGTCAAATATGGTTTACTTAGACTGTTACATAGACTTACGCAGAATATTATAAGACATTACAAGGAATATATTGCTAGCAAAAAAAAAATATTGTTTAGCTTTGTTCGAACATTTTAATCTTTTAATACTTTAAAGTAGAAAGAGTATATAAATTACTTTTCATTATTTTTTTTTTTTCTATGTCAGATTGCACAATGATGTGGACTCAAATATCTAATTGGGTTCGGCTATTTGTCAATGTAATCACTTCTCAGTATTATGAGTAATGAATAAGATATAATTATTAGTATTATTGTCATCATTATTTTCATATATCTTGCAGGCTTCATGTCAGGCACATCATGCAGAACTTGCTATCATAGAAACGATGGACGAGAATACGTTCATATATTCTATAATGACTAAACTTGGAGGTGAGAAACTTAATACTTTATACTGTACATAACTATAATGAAACAATTTCCCTCAATTATCACATGATTATGAAAAAAGTTTTAATAAAAATACCGAACTCCAAGGTAAAAAGGGGAAGTCCATAAAACACACCCACCGCATTTATTTCAAATTTGATTTTTGTACATGTACGTCAACGAAAATTGACATAACGTTGTCGATATAATGGAATTATATGCGACTGTCATACAAAAGAGAGGTTTAGCTAGCTATAAAACCCCATCCTTTCTTTTGTACTTGACAGATTTTATCATAATGAACAAACACGCTTAAATTTTAAAGTTAGTGAATCATACAATTTTCATTTGGAGGTTTTTGCTGATTTAACATGATCTCAAACCCTGAAAAAGAAGGAGAATAAGATAATTATGCGCTTTTTGATATACTGGGTTAGAAAAAGGCCATATAAGGTAAACATATACATTATAGTAAACGCAACCTTCTTAATCAAAAGCATTTTTTGTGATTTCGTAATAGCTTGTTCAAGCGATAAACAAGGCGGAAAAGATGCCGTATTTTAAAGCAACTTCAGACAGTTACTATAACGTCCCTTGCATTCAATCCGTAAATGAATATATTACTGAGTTGTATGTCTGTTCCGAATCTTATTGAGTATTTGGACTATACGCATATGGTCATTTTTACTTGATTAATGAAAATAAGTGAATTTTACTCACAAGATAAAATTATAATAAAACTTTTACATGATAATTTTCGACTTTTTCTAATGAACGACTTTGGTAAATAAATTGAAGAAATATCTAAATGAAATGTTATAGCAAATAGTTAACTGCTTTACTCGTTGGTAGTGTAGAATTGAATCCTACTTTTTTTTTTCTTTCTTTGTTTTAATTTTTTTTTTTTTTAGTTATGATTAATTTTTAGCAATGTGTTCTTGTTCCCATTCATAAGATCTTACAATAACAGTGGTTTTTACGTGCTGTCTCTCTATACGTATGCAAAAAAAAAGAAACGAGGTCAGCACGTATAAACTACTGATATTGCAAGATCTTATCAAAAGGAGAAGGAATCTATTTATTTAGTAAATATTTTTTAAAAAAAATAACTAATCTCTAAACACCGGGGAAAAAGCCTGTGGTTCTAATTACGGACAAAAAGGTCGATATGATAAATGTTTTAAATTGACTGTTGCGGAGGTAAGATAACAGATATTTCAATATTTAGACAATATGTCAAAGAACAATATATTAAAAAAATATCCATATTGACTAACTACTCATATGAGTATACGCATAAAGTCTAAATACTTGCATGCTCCGGAATATGTCAACTGTATTAAATACAAATCTAATGAAATAGAATTATAACCTGTACAGGATATTTTTGGTTGGATGGAACAGATGAATTTTCTGAAGGACAATGGGAATGGGCTTCAACTGGTGATGCTTTAGATTATTCAAACTGGTATCCAGGAGAACCTAATAATGATGGAGGAGAAGACTGTCTGATGACGGGCGGAGACTACAGAACATTATGGAATGATGGCAAATGCGGGAGTCATCAAAAATATATTTGTGAGAAAAAGTAGGTAGATATATATTTGATTTCAAGATAAATTTAGATAGATGTTTGCATATTTCTTTGGTTGTTTTTGATTAAACTGATGTAAATAAAGAGATATAACTACTAACCCGGAATATCTAATAAACCTCCAGCTTTTAAGAGAAGTATGCGTAGCTTTATATGAAGTGAAGGTTTATGTTTGTATTAGTATATATTTGTTTGTCTGCTATTTTTGTTAATTTTGATTTGACCTGTCTGTGTGTTGTCTATGCTTGTCAGTTCATTCGGACAGATATGTAAATTTTTCATGTTCTTAGATTTTTTTAAAGGTGTTTATACAGACACACATTTTGTTGATATGTTTTATCATGTAATTACCAATCGTCTCTTTGTTGCTGTCCATTTTTAGCTCACCTTTCCAAAGGAAATGTGAGTTTTTGCCGTCACTTGGCGTCCGTCGTCGTCGTCCGTCCGGTGTAAACTATTTCAAACATCTTCTCCTCTGAAACTACTGAACCAATTCCAAACAAATGTTCATAAGGTAAATTCTATTATCCCTGAAATGTTCAGATGAATCTAACAACCCATTGTTGGGTTGCACCACTAAATTGGTAATTTTAAAGAAATTTTGCAGTTTTTGGTTATTATCTTGAATATTATTATAGATAAAGATAAACTGTAAAAGCAAAAATGTTCCGCAAAGTAAGATCTACAAATAAAATTAATGACTAAAATTGTCAATTGACCCCTTAAGGAGTTATTGTCCTTTAAAGACAATTTTTCACAATTTGTTCATCTAGTTTGCTTACTTTAAAAAATCTTCTCCTTTGAAACTGCTGAATCAATTTTAGCCGAATTTGGCCTGAATGAGTTTCAGAGTATCTAGTATAAATTTTGTATTTTATTTTCTTGTACGTCAAGAAACATTACCACCATGGCTAAAATAGAACATAGGGGTAAAATGCATTTTTTTGCCTTTGAAGAAAATATGACAGATACAAAAAACATTAAAATGGCATTTTTTAAGCCACTCATTAATATATATTGAAAAGCAAAAATAATCATTGATGAAAGATTTAAGCAAAAAATTACAGGTGAGCGATTCAGGCTCTTGAGAGCCTCTTGTTACTATACATCTTTTTGATTCGAAAAAGCAAAAAATGATTGGACAGAAACAAAACTGACACCGAATGTTTGTCAATTATTTCATAATTGCAATACTAAATGCACGCCAAAATATCTAAATTTGCAGCGTTATTAACAAAAAAAAAGCACAAAAAACATTTCTTTGCATTATTTGTTTTAATATGTATTCTTTTGTAAAGTACGATGTATGTGCCAGTGTTTAATATGTTTGTATTCGTTCGTCTCTTGCAGGTTGGAGAACACAATTGTTGGATAACGAATGAACACATATGGCAGAGAATAAACTTGATCGTAAAACCAAATAAATAACAGTGTTAATTTATTTACGTACTTTTTTCTCTTACCCAGAATGAACAACAATGCAGGAATGTTCGATAGTACGATGAAAAAAAGAAAGGAAATCTGAGTTAAATTCGACAAAACCCCTTTAAACGGATACAAAAGGATGACATGTGATTTGTAATGCTTGTTTTAAGAGTGATATCAAATGATTATGTTCACTTGTTTATACACCTTGGTTGAATATAGTAAGAAATAAACTATCCAATGTGATTCAATATGTATATCATGCAGGCGCAAAAAGATGGTTGAATAATAATGTGGTTCTTTGAAACTAGTTTGACAGGGGATCAAAAGTCATTATGCCAATTATTTATCTCTATCTACTTTTAACTGAGAAGTCTAAATGTACATTAACTAGACATCGTTGAGATGGGAGCCATCTCTGAGGCCCCGCTGTAAAAAACAGTTGTCAACTGAAACCACATCTTCTTATTTCTTTGTTATAAAACATATTCCTGAGGGTAAATGGTATTCTGAAAACCACCACATTTTGGTTGCAAATGATTTTTTTCAAAATATTTTTGTGTGCTTTTTTTTTTAAGTTATTATTTTCTAATTTTTGGGTTGATTGGAAATAATTATTTGAAAGAAATTTATTCTGACTAATTTTTTCCAAATATTAAAGGTATTCTTATATGGGAGGTCTGAAATGAGTGTATAGTAAATCACATTTATAAACTGTATTGTTACGTCTCTTGGTCTACAAATGTCACTTTTTGTGTTTCCATCATAACTTGGCTTCATGAGAAAAAAGATTCCTGTATTATGAATGTTGAGTTCCTGTAAACGTATATATTTTTTTTTATATCAGCGAGTTTATTGTTTGCCTTGTGTATGGCTTGAAGATAGTGAGTCCGCACAAATAACAAATTTTGATAAATCAGCAGTATCAAGAAGTCCAATACTATTGCGTGTGCTTCAGTTCTAAAAATTGAGGAGGCAGGAGGTAGGCAGATAGTTGCCACTTGATCTGGATTAGCAGCAGCGGATAAACCTTACATCAATGCTTCGGTTAATTAGTGAATATGAATGTTGTTGATCCACAGGATGGTTAGTAACAGCCTAATTGTAATATGGAAGTAAAATGTCAATACTTAATTAGGAAGTTCCCATTACTGACATTGACAGGTCTGTATATAAGTTTAGTTCAGATGTATTGAGGTGCAGATTCTAACGGATTCCCATGTGATGAATTATTTTCATGCTTACAAAATAGTGAATTCCAAATTTCAAAAGTATGTACAATACTGAAGGTGCGACATCAAAACTTGCGAAGTTTAAGTGCACCAAGACACATACAATTACACTGGTGACGCACAGATTCGTGAATTTCGATGTACGATTTCATTTCTTGTTATACGCTATTGAACAATCATCTAGTTTAGATTGTTCAGTATTATCAAGACTTTGCTTTAAATGTCGTTCTATATTTTTCATATTTTTGCCTCCGTTACATATCAAGTAAAGCGTATAATTCGTCCATCGTTTGCATTTTGAAATGTTTAAAAGAATAAATTGGAATAGTTTGAACTTTTTTAATCAGCATTTAAATATTGCCGAACATATATCTGTTCAAAGTCTCATAACTCTGGAACATCAGACAAGAAAATTTCAAAAAATGGGAGCCAATATTCACCGATCTCCACAACAGTGTAAAGTTTGAAGTAATTTGTTAGAACCATACTAGACATGCTAGAGCTAGTGTGTCAAAAATGCAAAAATACCTTAACTCTGACAATAAAACCCAATAATTAACAACGCGAAAATTTCAAAATCAAAAGGTACCTTACTTTAACAAATTTCAACAATTGTGGAACGTGTTAAGTACTTGTTAATCTATCAAAGCAAACACAAGCAGTGTACAACATGTGAACAATTTATTACAATCTGAACCGTAAAACTCCCGCTACTCAGGAATGACAAACGAGAAATTGTTTTTGATAAATCCCATTTACAGCATTACTTTTTGAGTAAATCAGTTACAATTAAGTTGATGAGAAAGACAAATAAAAATATATATAAAAGTAATAAACTGTATTGACTAATCAACAGCATACAGTGTTAATTACATTGATTAAGAGAACTTAAGTTTGTATGCGAAATATGAAAAAAAAATGCCCTAAATCTGACATAGAAAGTCCCATTATAAATTACAGCGATGTACTATGCTTGCCATTGAGATAATTATCCACCAGAGAACGCATGACGTACTATATGTTATAAACTATAGTTCACCTTACGGCCTTCAACAATGAGTAAACACCACACTGTCGATCAAGATTTGAAAAGCCCCCATCATGAACAAATGACCTAATTTATAAAAAAACAACAAAAAATCAAATATGATTTACAGCAACAAACGACAACAACTGATTTACAGGCCCTTGTATGGGATACTTATCACTTGAACGACATACAAAACAAAATCGAAAGGGAGCTTGTTTCCCAAATTCCCAAATGGTGTGTTAAAATATCCTGAGCATTGGTTAAGGCATATTTTAGTTATCATACGAAGTGTTGATGGAAGGACGGATAGACTACAGTATACCAAAATACAATACAAATTATAAACGTCCAAAGAACCTTCGATAATATTTCTCAATATTTTAAGAAGTTGTAAATTAACATAGGGTAGTTGTTTTTTCTAAGGATTAACTGATAGCTTCTGTCGATGGATTTTGTCTCTCACAAAGATTGGTAATAATCAGACATAACGTTGATTTATTCTCTACACGATAGTTTTGCATTTAAATAATCTAAAATAGATGGAAGATATAGGTCATGTTAAATGAGAAAAGGATCAACATGGATACATTTTGAGAAAATGTTTTTAGAAGATAAGTATTTCAGTTGACCATTTTACTATTCCCTTTCTTGGAAAATCGTTTTACATCGCAGATTCCTTGAGCAGAAAGCTCCTTGTGAGTTTCAGATAAAAGTCTCCAGCTCCACGATATATAATTGGAATCCATAAAGGATATTTGCTGAGCTAATGTGTGTCTTTTTACGTTAACAGTATATACGTACTTATGTTTTGTTTTGCGTCTCGAATAATGCCATGACTAATGTTGAGTTTAGTGTGAGGAGACGCTGATATTGGTTTTTCATTTATTTCAGTTAGTTTCGAAAGATTAATCTGTTTTTTAAATGTTGATACTTTCTGTTCATCTTCAATGTATAGACGAGTGATATTAACAATAAAATTTTATTTTTAATGCACCCACCTAACATACGGCTAAATCATATACCATTCGAAAGCACATCATCTGTACTAACTTTTTTGCCCGGTCGTCAAAAATTCGTATGGTGCAGTTTCCTTCAAATCACAACAAAAGGTCTAGGGCGGACAACTTCTAATTTTACAAGAAGTCAGCATTTTTGCATATTCTGTCTTCAGAATAACGATATTCTGTATGTACATATGGAAATCTCTTAGAACAGATGTTAATAGTAACTTATCAAAAGCACTTTGAAATATTAGTGTCGGATTTTTAATAAATAGCGCTGTTTTTCAGAAATTCCGTTGAAAAT